GCGGCAGCCTCCAGCAACAGCAGCGGCGGCGGCAGCAGCCGCAGCGCCTATTGAGCTGTCTCCGTGAGCGATGTGGTGCAGAGGTCGCGAGTCGAATCAGCGGTGAAAGATTTAAAAACAAAAACGAAGATCACCACCCCCGTGTAGTCTACACAAAGACAAAGATCCCCCAGATAGCCTCAACAGACTGTAGGGGCAAGTGCTGTTGGCGAGCACCTGTGAAGGCCGACTCGGCGTACGGGGTGGTGGTGGGGTGGGTGTCTGTGGGTTTGCGGGAAGAGTGATGTGGCGAGCAGCACCGCTCTGTGTACCCGCCGTCCACGTTGGCACACCGCGCCAGGCATTTGTGTCAGGCTGAGTAGACCCCAGGGGAGAGGTTCCTTGGCCCCGACAAAGACATTGCACCTTAGATACAGGCCCAGGGCCTCTAAAGCATGGCAGGGGTTCGAGGTCGGTTAGTGTTGCTCGCAACCGGGGAGGTGGCCAGGACACGCCAACAACAACAACGAACCCCTTGTGTTGTCGGGTTGCGCTGCGCGGTGGCCAATGGATGGCAACAGTTGACAAGGACGGGATTCTCGAATGTGTCCGTGCGGGGAATTTGACTGACCGCGAGTCACCCCCAGTGCGTGGCGGTGGTGGTGATGGTGGTGGTGATGGTGGTGGTGGCGGTGGTGATGGTGGCGGTGGTGGTGATGGTGGTGGTGATGGTGGTGGTGGCGGTGGTGATGGTGGCGGTGGTGATGGTGGCGGTGGTGGTGGTGGCGGCGGTGGCGGTGGTGGCGGTGGTGGTGGTGGTGGTGGCGGTGGTGATGGTGGCGGTGGCGGTGGTGGTGGCGGTGGTTGCGGTGGTGGTGGTAGTGGGGTTTCTACTCGGCTCCGGTGTCCTTCCGCTCGAAGGTGAAACGCTCGTCAATGTCATTGGTCAGATATCCCAATGGACCCACCTCGTCACTGAATTAACCCACCTCGTCACTGAATGGACTCACCTCGTCAATGCTCCCTCCTGTTCACGCATCTAAGACAATTCACTCCGCTGTGTTCCTAGAGACGAGAATTCTCGTGAAGTTGTTTGTTTTTTTTTGCGTGAAAAACATTCAAGCGTTGCCTGGGATGAGCGCGTCTCCTGCGAGTGATCTTGAAGTGCACCTAGCCTGGCACAAGCGCCGTGATGACGTAAGCGCAACTTGGTAATGAACGGCGTCTGCGTGTTTTGTTTATAAACGGTGCACGGATACAGCTCGACCCGTGGAGTAGCCGTCGTGGTCACTGTCGTCATCGTTGTTTGTGGTCGATATCGGAATCATCATCATCATCCACGGCAGCCGCACCATCGGTAACCACAAGGAGCAACAGCGCCAATCGTGATTTACTGCGCAGCATAATCAGCATAATCAGCATAATCAACAGTAGCAGCAGCAGCGGGATGTCATCTCCCTCGCCTGGATTGCGGGAGGTCGTGGGTTCGATCCCGACCCCGACGCATGCTGCTGTGTATTTGGAGTTTGCGTATTTTACTCCCGGCGGTCGCGTGGATTTTTGCTCCGGGTCCCTCCGGGTTCTCCCTTCACATTTTAGAAACGTGCGTTTTCGACTTTCCGGCTGCTTTACATTTCCAGACGATCGGCCACTTCGCCGAGCAATAATTCTTGGCTCGGTCTCTTCTGAAAAAAAAAAACAAATTCGCTCAGTGGGCCTTACCTGGTCAGTTAAATACGTTCATAATGAAATCGAGGTAAGTAGATTCGTCCGGGTGCCGTGGGAGAAGGCAACACGTGGCGAATCTGCCCGACTATCTGGGACGCTCGATAACAGTTTTCCGATGGACATACGGGGGGGAGGGGGGGGAGGGCTTCGGTCTAGCAACGTGGAATTGCCACCACTGGCTCTGGGAGGGCCGGTCGAGATGAAAGACTTTTGTCTCGTTGGTTAGAAATGTTTGCAGAAAGAAAAAAAAAACTCGGGTAAAAAGTGAAACCTGCAAACAGACGGATGTGATGTCGTTGGGATGCTGTGTGGTCTCTTTGTTTGCAACAGCACAGAAACGTTCAGACCGCTGCGCTTGTCATAACCGTACAACAATCCAGACCAATAAATAAAGCGTTGACTTAATAATCGTCCCCATAAATCCTTTAATTTATTTTTATACTGCGTTTGGAAGCAACAGTAGAAACCCGTAACTCAAGGAGATGTTCCTATACCACCGGCCAAACAAACAGAGTTGCCGGTGTGACACGCTATCGCAATACCACCCACCAGCCATGGCCAATCCACTGCTGGATGAATGCCTCTCCAATCCGTAGCCATCTCTCGCGGTGCAATCAATACTATGTTGGTGAATAGATATATCTGAACCGCTCCTGCACTCTGCCCCCCCCCCCCACTTCACACCACCTCCCTGCACTGAACAACGTGGTTGAAGTATGGTCAAACAACCCCCCTCAGGACCGACACGGCGCAGGGGAGAGGCCTTCATTTAGCAGTGGATTGGCACAAGGTTGTACATTATTATTATTGTTACAGGCAGAGGAGAGAGGGACGTCACGCGCCACCACCAAGCTGTGAGAGTGGCAGGGTGGCAGTGAGCGCGCCGCGCTACGATCCCGGCGACCCGAGTTCGATTCCAGCTCACGGCCAACGCCAGCGACGATTATCTGAAACGGTCATGGGCCTCGCCCCTAGGTCGACTCAGTCTCCAGTGAGTAGCTGGTGCGGTGTGGAGTAAACATCTCCACGAAAGAGACAAAGGCGGCCGGGCGTGGTGTTGGCCACCCACCCCCTCGTGTGCCGTGCCGACCCTCATAGGTGCTCGCTAACAGCACTTGCCACAACAGTCTCTTCAGGCAATACCGGGGATCTTTATCATTGTGTTATACTGTATATGAATTATACTTCGCAATCGTTTTCTCAAAGTGAACAGTTTTATAAATAATACATTTTTACGACCCAAAAACAAATGTGCGAGCGAGAGTCCATTCAAGTGCTTGTGGAAAAATGAACCTAATCATCATCATCATCACGATGCATGGGAGGGACATCCCGTAGGTGTCCAATGCACGTTTCGTCTTAACTTGGGGATAGAATCAACAAACAAAACTCTCCCAAGATGGGGCGATACCAGCCAAGGGCGTGTTGCCTCGCCGTGATTACAAGCGTGCCGCGAACACCGGAGGACGCTCGCAAAGAATCTGGAACAAACCAAAAACCGAGGAGTGTACACGGAAGAAGCATGGTGCGCTCGTTGCAGGCTGGAAATTACAATGAGAAACAAACAAAAAAGCGGAAAAAACACGTGGATTAAAGTACAAATGTAAAAGCGAACTTGGGCAGGACAATTGCTACGAAGGGAATCGTGGCTGGTGGACATCACGCATTGTAGAATGGCGACAGCAGCAGCCGCGTGATGAAGGGAGCGTGCCCGAAACGACGACCATCGTGGAGATAGCGCGGAGAGACGCCGTGCAGTGGTGAGATTGTGACATGGCAAGGTCACGAGGCATGGTGAAGATGTTGCGGCCTTCATCCAGCAGTGGATAGACCAAACCTGCTGCTGCTGCTGATGATGATTGTCAATCCATTGCTGTGGATGAAGATCATGTTGGTCATGGTGGCTGTTTAAGGACACCTCCATCGTTCTGGCCAATGCAGGTTTGTGAAATCGTGAGGAGGGCACAATGACCTGTTCAGATCTCACTCTTCGCTGATGTTTAGCCGTGGACGGAAATCAACCTCGCGCTGGTGGGATTGTACCACAGTGCGCTAACCACTGCGCCACCGCTCCCTCTTACTCGTAAGGTCCATTGGTTGATGGGCCCGAGGCGGGCATTGAACTGGCACTCGGAAGGTCGGCGACTAAGGGGAAGTCCTAATACGCGCGGTGGCGGTGGTGATAATGTGGAAGAGGTCCTTGAAGGATGCATAAATTGAGTAACCAGAGGTCGACTTAAAGCCAGACGACGGACGTCACGAGAGCAGCCTTCGTGGGTCAGGTGCCAACTTTGCAACGGCTGAAGGGATCTAGCAGAAGGAAGAAAGCGATGGCGAGCTGTGATGTCATCGACGGGATTGGGCGTGATGGCAGAGGGGAGCCGGTCGTGACCACCATAGTAATGCCGAGGTAATTACCCACGAGAGCCTCGCCGAGCCTCGGGGCTCATCTTTAGCATGGCCCCGCGTTGGCGTGTGCGAGCAATTGTATTCCTGGGCGTTTGGCTTCATGTCGGCGGAAATCAGAGTCCGTGGAAAAAAAGAAAAAAAACCGCATCAAGCGTTCGAGGGGCGTGGTGCTCCAGAGGGGCACACTTACTAAATCCACGCCAACAACACCCGGCAGGGCCCGGTAGTTACCCGTCCAAGCACCAACCAGGCTCAAGTCTAATTAGGTCTCGAGTCCATTCGGCCACAAGCAGCCGAGTTTTTCGCCCGTTCCAGCGAGCGAGTCTGTGCACAGACATTTTAATTATTATTATTAAGAGCGTTTTCTCTTTAAATCTACTTGGCAGGCGAGACCGACCCAGACATCTCCGCTTGGCCGCGCTCTGCGTTTCGTCTCGTCCCCGAACAAGTGGTGGCTTTTAAAGCTGAAGTGTCATGATGAGTGCTCAAATGTCATGCAGTCAACAGGCCAGTCACCCAGCGAGCTAGCCAGCCACTCAGCCACGCAGCAATCCACCTAGCCACGCAGTTGCCAAATCCGCCACCTGGCGAGTCATATAGCCAATCGCCCACTTAGCCAACCACCTATCCAATCGTTCGGCCAGCTGGTCACTCTCCACCAGTCACTCCATCTCGCCAAGCATCTGCCCGGCCATCCAGCTCGCAAAATAACCCAGCCACCAAAGCCAGCCTCTCGGTTGAGCCAGCCATCGAACCAGATCGTCAAGTCACCCAGCCAGTCACCTCTCCTCCCGCCCACTCAACCACCCACCCCACCCACCGAGCGAGCCAGAATATTACCCAGCCAGCCAGAAACTTACTCAGCCAGCCTCTCTTCAAAACTTCTTGGCTAACTCCCATTCCTCTACCCCCCCCCACCTCCATTGACTCCGCCCGTCTGCATCTCTCTGTGTAATTTCCTGTGGTGTGTTGGACTGGGCTGGGCTTAATACTTTACTGGAGCTGCGCTCGGTTTTCGAGAGAGAGAGAGAGTGGGAGAGAGCGCGGCTGGGGTGGTAGAGTGCTCGCAGTGAACGCCAGGGAATCTCTTTGAGTCGCTCCGAGTTGAGTCCGCGGCATAAGAAGGACGGCGAGAAGGTCCGAGTTCGCGCTCACGGGTCCACGACAGCTTCGCCTCCAACTCGGCCCGTCTCGCCTTGTCTTCCCCCCGTCACCTCGCGAGGTACTGCCGCTTGCTCATCCTCGCTGCGTTGTGACCGTGGGGAGCGTGGGGTGGTGGTGGTGGGGGGCATCGGCCACTCGCGGTAGCGGTCAGCGCGACACTGCGCACGGCGATCTGAAAAACCCCGGCCGCCCGAATTCGATGACGGTAGCGGCGGCGAGCGATATCTGAACCGGTACTGGCGGCCCAACGGCCCCAGCCTCTTTTCTCTCCCAGCTTTACTCACTCGCACTGCCCAGCGTGGTGAAGTATGGTCAAACGACCGGCACGGCGCGGGGGGGGGGGGGCGGAGGCCTTCATCAAGCAGCGGATTGACATTGAGGCTATACATTAGGTGATTAATATTGACAGTTATATTCGGCTTCGTATTCTTTCGAGGTTTCAAATTGATTTGCTGCGGATGATTCGTTGCTGAGTGTCATCTGAAGGTTGACTCGGAGTGAACGTGGAGCGCACGGCATCACGTGGGTGCGCGTGCGAGAACGGGGTGATCGGTTTAAGCATCATTTACAACCCTTCATCAATCCGCCGCTGGGTAAACGCCTCTTCCTTGTTGGTGATGAGGGTTGTTTCGCCATACTTCACCACGCTAGTCAATGCGTGTTGGTGCGAGGCGGTGGGGGTGGTCAGGGCAGCACTGGCGGAGATATCCGCCGCCACTGAAGAAGCCGTGGCCTGGAGTCGAACTCGGTTTGCCGGTATTCCTTTGTGCGCATGCGTGTGAACGTGTCTCTGTGTGTGTGTGTGTGAACGTGTCTCTGTGTGTGTCTGTGTGAACGTGTCTCTGTGTGTGTCTGTGTGAACGTGTCTCTGTGTGTGTGTGTGAACGTCTCTCTGTGTGTGTGCGTGTGAACGTGTCTCTCTGTGTGTGTCTGTGTGAACGTGTCTCTGTGTATGTGTGTGAACGTGTCTCTGTGTGTGTGTGTGAACGTGTCTCTGTGTGTGTGTGTGAACGTGTCTCTGTGTGTGTGTGTGAACGTGTCTCTGTGTGTGTGTGTGAACGTGTCTCTGTGTGTGCGTGTGAACGTGTCTCTGTGTGTGTGTGAACGTGTCTCTGTGTGTGTGTGAACGTGTCTTTGTGTGTGTGTGTGAACGTGTCTCTGTGTGTGTGTCTCTGTGTGAACGTGTCTCTCTGTGTGTCTCTGTGTGAACGTGTCTCTGTGTGTGTCTGTGTGTGTGTCTGTGTGAACGTGTCTCTGTGTGTGTGTCTCTGTGTGTGTGTGTCTGTGTGAACGTGTCTTTGTGTGTGTCTCTGTGTGTGTGTGTGTGAACGTGTCTCTGTGTGTGTGTCTCTGTGTGTGTGTGTCTGTGTGAACGTGTCTTTGTGTGTGTCTCTCTGTGTGTGTGTGTGAACGTGTCTTTGTGTGTGTCTCTGTGTGTGTATGTGTCTGTGTGAACGTGTCTCTGTGTGTGTGTCTCTGTGTGTGTGTGTCTGTGTGTGGGGAGCGGTGGTGTAGCAGTTAGCGCGCTGCACTACGAACCTGGCGACCCGGGTTCGATTCCCGCTCACGGCAAACACCAGTGACGATTATCTGAACCGGTCCTGGGCCTCCCCTAGGTCGACTCAGCCTCAAATGAGTACCTGGTGCGGTGTGTAAACATCGCCGCTAGGGAGACAAAGGCGGTCGGGCGTGGTGCTGGCCACCCACCCCTCGTGTACCGTTCCGGCCTTCATAGGTGCTCGCTAACAGCACTTGCCCCTACAGTCTGTTAAGGCTATACGGGGGTTCTTTGTCTTGTGTGTCTGTGTGAACGTGTCTTTGTGTGTGTCTCTCTGTGTCTGTGTGTGTGTCTGTGTGTGCGTCTGTGTGAACGTGTCTCTGTGTGTGTGCCTCTGTGTGTGTGTGTACCGCTTATGTAATGCACAGAGATGATGGAGATTGTAATTCTCTGTTATGGAAGGGGCCGAAATGAATTTGGTAAACAATAGCAGTCGAGCACGGAGCTCATGGTCAGAAGGGGGGTAAATTTTCGATTTATTTTTCTCATTTGGATCACAAATTACAGCTTGGATATTTGATCATTGGGACAGGGCCAACTTAGAGGTGTTTTTTTTCTTCTCAATAGAAATCTGGAAGCGTTCATCAACGCTTAGAGAGGGGTGATTCCTGGTCAGCTGTGAGTTAGGAAATTCGCCTCCCGTTGACGTGTGTCACTGAATCCCGATAGAGAAATGGAACGAAGTGTGCTGCTGGAGATTGCCACAGCGATGCAATGGTGCCCAGTGCCGCTGTGGGCAGCACGGGGCTTATGCCAATCGACGGTGGAAAAGTTACCAATTTTTCAATCCCGGTCATTGTTCAACTCGGCTCGTCATCATCATCATCATCATATCTCCGCGGTCGATAAACAAACAAACAAACGACATATCCGTACCACATTGTCAAGAGGGCATCAGTCGCCGTGTTGTGTGGATAGACTGTCCCCGTCATGGGAAAGTGAAAGTTCTCACTCGCGCAGGTTTGGGTCCGCGCCGCCGCCCACATTACTCGTTCGAGCAGGGGAGATGTTTGCGGTTGGGAGTGGTCGGGGGGGGGGAGGAATGGATTTAGATGTGGGGCGAAGTGCTCGTGCCTGGACACGATAGCGACGAAGCCCGTGAGCTCCACGCCGCAATCACTGCTGCGCCTGCATTCGACTCGCTTTGCCAGGGTGTGGTGCCACACGCCTATGGTTAAAGCGGCTTGGAGGGAATGGTTGGTGGTCAGGAGATGGCAGTACAGCAAGTCGGATTCGCGAGGTCCCCACCTGCGTTGCGGGACCTCGAGCGAAAACCCTCCACGTACGCGTGGTGAGGTTCTTCCTCTCCGGTTTCACCGGTGTCCTCCCGCACGAAGCGAGATGGACATTAGTATTATTTTTTAAAGGATATGGCCAACGATCCGATTGCAGGGCTCTACAGAATAATACTTTTCAACACTCTGGGTGGCTTGCTTTCCGGAAAATACAGGTGTCATTGTTCGCGTTGCGCGAGTGTATTGCATGTGTGTGGTTTAGGTCGACTCAGCCTCAAATGAGTACCTGGTGCGGTGTGTAAACGTCGCCACTCGGGAGACAAAGGCGGCCGGGCGTGGTGCTTGCCACGCACCCCATCGTGTGTCGTGTCGGTCTTCATAGGTGTCCACTAACAGCACGTGCCCCTACACTCTGCTGATGTTTTCACACCGCAACAGGTACTCATTTGACGCCCGGTTCAGATAATCGTCACTGGTATTGGCCGTGAGCGGGAATCGAACTCGCCTGCTGAGACACGCAAGGTAATTGGTCCGACCAGCCATCGCTATGTCTGTCCGTGTATATGATTCCATCTGTATCCCTGTCCGTCCCTTCGTACATCTGTCTGTTCGCCTACCCGCTGAACTCTCTATCCTTTGGGATGATTGGTCATCTGCCGATGCCGACAGTTAACGTCTGAATGTAATCACATTGTCACCACAGCGGCAGATGAATACACTTTGTTTTGTTAACCCCTCTGTCTATCCATCCGTCTATCTGCCCTCTGGCCTTCCTGTCTCTCTGCCTGCCTCCGAGGTTTCTCCGTCTGTCCGTCTTTCATTGTGCAAACGAGGATACGAATACAAGTTACCCCAAGTTTGAAAGACTCTAATAGTTTCTGAGAGCCCTGGCACGGGAATGTGGAATCGCTGTAGGAGAACACGTTCCTCGATGATTATGATGATGATGATGATGATTTATCGCTCACAGGCATAGAGGCATTCATTTGTCTGCTCGGTGGAATGCGTCCAAGTGATTCTATCTGCCGGGAGACGGTAGCCGGCGGCGAGGAAACCGGGTGCCACGTGGTCTTACCACGTCAATGTGGGATTTCCATCATCCACTTTAAAGCCCCCGCCGGTTTTGGACACGTTCATTTATTCTTGGGTTATTTATTTTCTTTCTACGTGACTTTACCGAAAGATCCAAAGAGTAATTCCTGCAGTCACGAAAGCTTCAAATCACGTTCATTTATTTTTGTTGCAATTGTTAACTTCAGGAATCAGTGGTGTGGTGTGGAAGGGGGGGGGGTGGCGCGGCTTGCTTTCTGCGCAAAAAACTCTGCGAACCTGAGTTCGCTTGCCGGCCACGGCCAACATTGGTGGCGGGGGATATCTGAACCTGCCCTCGACAACCCTGCCTTCCAAGAGGTCCTCATCCTTCATCTAGCAGTGGCTTGCGCAGGTGGCCTCTAGATAAACTTCTGAATCGGCATCGTTTCATCGTGGCTCCCCTCCCATCCCACTACGCCCTCCCCCGGTCCCCTCCTCCAACAAAAGAAGCATTCCTGGCAGCGCCGTGACCGCGCGGCTCTCCGTGTTCACCAATCATCATGCGCGTGCGATGCGTGCAGGCGATTTGATTAACATGGCAGTGGAAAGATTGGCAGAGACGAAGCAGCGGGCCGCGCGAAGGGTCACTGGAATATTGGAAGGCCCAGATTTCAGGGAATGTCGGGCAGGGCAGGTGTGAAAACTAAAAACTCTTTCCATTCCAGCCCCCCCCCTTCTCCCATGCCCTCCACCCCCCATCCACGTCCCCGCCCCCCGTCCCCACCTATACCGCTGTACATTATTGACGGTCAGAATCACATGTTGAAGAAACGGGGAACACATGGACATAGTTACGTATATTGCCGAATTGTTGTCGTTGTTGTTGTCACTTATTTGCACGAGAAAACCTCGCTGGCTGTCAATTCTTTTTTCAGGAGGAGGCTCCTGCTGTGTTTCGCAGTAGGGCGGCGATGTTGCTACGCATTCCCCACCCCCCCAATTGAGTAATTTGAGGGCAACTTTAGCAAATTTGGAAAACATCCAATCCACCTGGGCGCCAGTTGGCGCGGCGTTGGTAATTGAGACGTCTGCACGCCAAACATCTGACACAAACGAGTAAACGTTCGTTCAGATGCGTGCCTGATCCGTTCCCTGCACGGGCTATCGCCTTGTTTTAAACAAAGAAGGTAGTCTCTCTGCTTGAATTGTATCTGGAGCGGCTATCGCCTTGTT